CCTGGGCTGCTGCCCCACCCCCTCCTGTGTTCCTGCAACAGGACTCTGGGCTGGAGGGTCGCAGACAGCAGCATCCACCCACGGGGAGCCACAGCCGGATCTGAAGCTGATGTTCTTGGCCGGGGGGTCATGGTTCACTCGGGGACAGGCAAGTTTTCGAGAGGAAGGAAAACACACGGAGCTGTCCTGGGAACTAACTAGACCTGGAGGCAGCTCCTGGGGTTTCAGAGTCTGGCTCTTGTGGAGGGTGGGGCTGGAGCTGTCGAGGTGGCCGCTGGGGCTGCACATCTGTCTCTGGAGAACATTCATTCCCTCCTTCGTCATTCGCTCCCTCACTCCCTGCTGTGGGCCAGGCCAGCCTCGGCTCAAGGGTGCTGGGCCGTGGGGACGGTACAGAGGGACAAGCATTGGGAGGGGTACGAGCTCTGGCCCCAGAGGGAGGGATCTGTCACTGAGCCTGCAAAGTCAGGGCGGGCTCCCCAGAGGAGGTGCTGTTGGCCTGGGCCTTGAGGGATGATGGGAAGTGCATTCCTGGAAGAGGAACTGTATGTACAAAGGCGCAGTGACATTTAGGCACATGTGTGCTTAGGGAACCAGAGCCAGGGTGCAGAGGGGAGAGTACATGCGGCTGCAGATGTCAATGGGACCAGGACACCCTGGTCCTTGAATACCCTGCTAAGAGGCTGCCATCTGGTCTGCAGACTGTGGTCAGCATTACAAACAGATTTGCAAAGCCCTGGACCTTGTAGTCACCCACTGATGGCTCCTTCATCCCTAGCTCACACCCAACCACTGGGCGACCAAGGGGTCTGCTGATAGCAGCGGCAAAAGAAGGGGGCAGTGACCTTAGAGTTAGAGGAACAGAACTGGGTCTCAGTCCTGGCTCTGCCCATTATGTGCTGGAGGGACTAATGCATAGAGTTGGGCAGGTCGTACACTGCACAATGCCAGGGGAAGCTGGCCACGTGGTGATCTTTGTCAATAATGGTCCTGGAGCCATGCAGTGAACAACCTGTGCAGTGGTACAAGGTAGCCCTGCGTAGTCCTCTTTCAGGGTCTGCCAGCGTCCTTCAGCACTTCTGGAAGCCCTATTGGGCAGGAATGTGGGAGGTGGAGCCCCGAAACCCAGCTTCTCTCCCTGCTGGCTCTTCTCCCAGTCTTCCTCTAGGCTGGCTCTGCCCCTTCCTTTCCCAGAAGGTGCCACCAGACACCTGGCCTTCGCTGCTGTGTCAAGTTCCCCCTAAGACTCCCAGGGCATTTACAGTACAGTTTATTTAAAAAGGGGGAAAAAAGTTCACAGCTAAATCTGGTTGAGACTGTTGACTTCAGAGCTTTGGCTCCAGGATGGGGTGGGGGTGGGGATTGTCAAAAAACCCCAAACAAACAGAGCCTGCTTCCCAGCCGTGGGGGCCCAGGGTTTTCATGTGGAAAGAGGCAGTGGGAAGCGCGTCTGCCTTCCCCTGACTCATGGGTGACTCATCCGAGTGGGGAGGAGAGCAAGGGACTCTGGCCTGGCCCTCCCCTCCAGGCTGATTTAAAGAGACAAGGCCCTCTGGGGTGCCCCAGGCCCTGGGGTCACTCCAACCCCGAAATCCACTTGACCTGGGATGGTGGCAGCCTGCCTCCCCCATGAGTGATCTTCGGCTCCGAGCCTCAGTTTCCTGGGCCATAAAATGGGCCACTTGATCTTATGGGGCTGCTTGGAAACTTGGTTAACAGGCTGAATGATGTTCTTTCTTTCTGGTGGCGTCTGCAAACCTACTGTGTGCTGGGTCAGGTAGAGTCAGCAGAGCATCCTTGAACTTCTTCCTTCCCTCCCTTCTGAAAAGTCTCAGAGGCTGCCTCACCCTGTGCTGCTTCTGCCAGGGTGTGGGGTGAACCGGAGGCGTCTCTGTCTCGGGCAGCCTGGGTGCGAAGTGAGCCATGTGGGCTTCTGCTCTGAGGTTCCGCGGCCTTGGGCTCCTTCCCACCTCCCAGACCATCCCCGCCGCCCCTCCCCTCAGGCCTGGTTTTTCTTCCCTGTTTTATCTTTTTTTTTTTTTTTTCAGATTTACTGTATATAATTTACCCATGCTAGAAAATTTGACAAGTCCATGAAAAAAGAAAAAAAGTCACTTGTAACTTTACCCCTGCCCCCAATAAGCACCATGTAGTAGTGTTTTGATATGTTTTCCTGCCAGACTTTTACTTATGAATATTTTATAGTGGTTTTTTTAAAAAAAAAATCTTCACACATAAAATCGAGTGTCACCTATGGTAAGTGACCTCTGGAGAGACCACACTAGGAAGAAATTGTCGCAGGGAGGCTGCCGAGCCCCCAGCTCTCCAGACTGCAAGGCAGAGCTCGTGCTTGAGGGGCTGGGGTCAGCTCTGTCCCAGCTCTGCCGCCCACCGTGGGGAGACCAGGCAGGGTGGACGGGACGGTGACCAGAGAGCATTCTGGCCCCTGGTGCTAGATTCCCTGAGGCCCAGGGTGAAGGCACCGGTGGTGCAGCCGGTTCTAATCACTTCTGTGGGGAAGGAGACACTTTCCTCCCCCTTTGGTGTGTTCACACCAGGCCCGGTCCCCAACCTGCCAAATCATCGTATCTGCAGTTGCCATCATGCCCGACTCGGGCTCAGCCCGTGGTTTCCCTGTGCTCTTCCCCTGCCCGGTGGACTCTTCCAGACCTGGAGCAGAGGCACCTCCAGACCCCCTACGTGGGCTTCCTCTCTGTCCCACCATGGTCACTAGCCTGCCCCCCAGCCCCAGCTGGACCACTTGTCTCCAGCAGCCAGCGCGGCGGGCACACGGAAGGCACCTGCACACGTGGCTGGAATAAACTCCATGTGGAGTGAGCGCTGCGGGAGAGCGTCGTGCTGGAGCCCTGGGTGGGGACAGGCTTGGTCCGACGGGGAGAAGCCTGCTGGGGGGCTGCCTGGGGACATGGATTTGGGCCAGGCCAGGGACCAGCTGGAGCATCTTGGCAGGGAGATGCAGGAATAGGCACAGAGAGGCAGGTGGGTGACAAGCAGAGGCTTGAGGACAGGGTGGCCTGATAGAGGTCCCCCAGTAGGGAGAGGTGACACTGGCCTGACCTGGGGCTGCTGGTGCCCAGTCACCTCTCCCTCTGCACAGCACGGGGAGCTCTGTGCACACAGAGGAGCAGCTGACCCCATGGGGGTGTTGCCTGCTGGAGGGGGGAGGGCTTGGGCCTCGGGGTTGCTCTGGGGTCCCCTGGGTCATGCAGATTGTCAGTTCGGGAGCCTCTTGTGGGAAAGCCAAACCTCGACGGGGCAGCAGGTTCTGTGGCTGGTTTCCCTTTTATCTGCTTGAGTGGTGGGGCTAGAAGATGACCCTGAGTTCCCAGGGGCTGCGAGGGGAGTGGACGGGCCTGGGCTCAGCCCCTGGGGCTGCCCAGGTAGTATCCTCTCCCTGAGCCAGCCACCGTCTGTGCAGTTGTGGGAGGGTCGACGATCTGTGTGGAGATAAACCTGTGCACAGAGAGCCCTGGACGTGGAGTGGGCCCTGCCCCAGGGCTGTTAATGTCACCTCTGAAGCCAAGACCCTGGGAGGAGGGTTCCTGGGCATGGGGCTGCCACATCGAGGAGCCTCACACTGGCCAGCGTCACCCAGCCAGGCCCTGGCCACCCTGGCCAGGCAGCCTTTGATTCAGGCTGACCATAGCGGGCTGGAGTCTGTGTGCTAGGTGCCCACTGGCCAGTGAGAGGCAGACGTCTCAGGAGCTGAAGAGAGGCGGTCCCTCCTTACCCCCCAACAGCACTTGAGCCAGCTGTGGGGGTCCCAGTTCAGGCTTAAGGGCTAGTCGTGGCCACCTTGCGGGAGCCACGGGGTGGAGGTGGGAACACCTAAGGAAGGAGCCCGCAGCCGCATGCAGGTCCTGCTTCTCGGTTGGCTATGCCTTGGGCATGAGGATTCATCTTACTGAGCCTCAGTTTCCCCACCTTTAAAGTGGAGGCCAAGGTCCTTGCCCTAGCTGCCACTGTGGAGAATTGGGGACGTGAACTGGGCTGTGTGCGGGGACTTCATTTGCCTTGCAAATGTTCACAGAGCACGTTGTGGGCCGGGGCCCCGCGCTCATGGCTGTGTGCAGCTTGTTACCTCCGTGCCTCTGTGCGGTCTACGAAACCAGATTTCCACTAGATCCTGATCCGGCCCTGCCCCGGAGGTCATCAAGAGAACCGCCAGTGCAGGGCTGGACTCTAGGGGCCGGGGCTCTGCTCCAATGGCTGGGGACAGTCACGCCCACACCCAGTTCCCACGCCCCGGTCGGGGGCATCTTCAGTCCCATGTTTCAGATGAGTCAGGCCCAGAGAGGGTAAGTGATTTGCCTGAGGCCACACAGCTGTAAAGCAGTCCAGGAACCCAGGCGATGCTGAGCAGCATGGGTTCCAGAAGGTGGGAGCCTGGGAGGGCTGGGCACAGGGGGCTGGGGGCCTCATGCCACCCACAAGCCTCAGGCCTGTGGTCCTGGCCACCGCAGTCCCACTGCTGACGGCAGCAGAAATCTGAGCCCATGAAGGTTCCAGGGAAGCTCATGAACTGCCTGGCAAGTTGGACTGGGGTGTGGCCAGGTTAGACGCAGATGTGGGGCCCTGTGGACTCAGCAATTGGCAGCCCCATAGGCCCAGGATGGGGCACACTGCGGCCAGGCCAGGTCAGCTCAGAAGGGACACCCCAGGGTTCGGAGGGGCCTGCCTGTGAGCAGAGTGGACCGTCTCTCCTGCAAGGGTGTGGCTAAAACGTGAGACCTCTCTGAGCCTCCTGGCAGGGCTGGCAGTGGGCTGGGGTGAGGAAGCGTGGCATGTGGACGCCTCTGCTCACCGTGTTGGTTCCCTAGGCTGGGCGTTGCCTCACTGCTGTGTGTGTGGGACCCCAGGGGCTCTGAACCAGGCAGGGGTCTCAGTTGGAGCTTCCTGCTCCCCCCCTCGGAGCACGGCTTCTGGTGCCAGCAGTGTCCGGGCCCCACTGACGCACCTGGTTCTTCCTGCCAGTGCAGGTCTCCACCAGCTGACCAGCCCGCGGTACAAGTTCAACTTCATCGCCGACGTGGTGGAGAAGATCGCGCCGGCCGTGGTCCACATAGAGCTCTTCCTGAGGTGCGTGCAGACCCCTCCCGCCCCTCCTGCTCCCCAGTGTCCTCCAGCGCCCCCTCCATCTGCTAGGGTCCAGACTCCACTCCACTCTAGCAGCCTGGGCCATGGGACCCAGAGCAAGCCTGGGGTTGGGCCTACCTCGCTCTCCTCTCCTGGCTGCCCGCTGCCCTTGGGGAAGGTTGCCTGCCTGGCTTTGATCTCCTCCTCTGGGGAAGTAGCACGTGACCCCGCACCTCCGGAGCTGTGGGCGCCAATTGGGTGCGCGAGGGCAGTGGCTGCAGTTCTTCATTCATGCATCCCACGGGTTGTATTGGGCACCTACTGTGTTTGTATTACACGTGCGGGGCCACGTGCTAAAGCACAAAGAACCAGACTGGGGAGGGGGGAAGGCACCACTGCTATGTGCAAAGAGCAGGGGTGCAGTGGGCTGGGCGAGCGGGTGCTGGGTTCCTGGGAGCCGGGGGCTCAAGGGGCCTCACATGCTAAGCCTGGAGTAGACACTGAGGGAGCAAACGGGTGGATGCCTAGCGGGGGGGCTGCTTGGTGCCAAAGCAGCAAGGCCAGAGTAGCTGGGGCAGGATGGGCAAGGGGAGGCACGAGTGAGTGCGTGAGTGAGTGTGTGAGTGAGTGAATGAGTGAAGGAGTCAGTGAGTGAGTGAATGAGTGAGTGAGT